CACACACACACACACACACACACACACACACACACACACACACACACACACACACACACACACTCCTCTGCTTTAATACACACTTTAAATGTGTACGAGTGACTGGACCAAGATCTGCACATCAGTTTTGCTGCGCCCCAAATCACCTACTTATACTACGTCCTGGAAGTATGTACTTTTTTTGAGAAAGAAAAACTACATACACGCACTGGCCACTTTATTAGGTACACCTGTCCAACTACTCGTCTAATCAGCCAATCACATGGCAGCAGCTCAGTGCATTTAGTCATGTAGACATGGTCAAGACGATCTGCTGCAGGTCAAAGCGAGCATCTGAATGGGGAAGAAAGGGGATTTAAGTGACTTTGAATGTGCCATGGTTGGTGTCAGACGGGCTGCTCTGAGTATTTCAGAAACTGCTGATCTACTGGGATTTTCACGCTCAACCAACTCTAGGGTTTACAGCGAATGCTCCGACAAAGAGGAAATATCCAGTGAGCGTCAGTTCTGTGGGCGCAAATGCCTGAGTATTGCTGCTGACCATGTCCATCCCTTTATGAGCACAGTGTCTCAATCTTCTGATGGCTACTTCCAGCAGGATAACGCAGCATATCATAAAGCTCAATCATCTCAGACTGGTTTCTTGAACATGACGATGAGTTCACTGTACTCAAATGGCCTCCACAGCCACCAGAGCTCAATCCAATAGAGCAGCTTTGGGATGTGGTGGAACGGGAGATTGGCATCATGGATGTGCAGCCGACAAATCTGCAGCAACTGTGTGATGCTATCATGACAATACGGAGCAAAATCTCTGAGGAATATTTCCAGTAGCTTGTTGAATCTACGCCATGAAGGATTAAGGCAGATCTGAAGGCAAAAATGGGCCAACCCGGTACTAATAAGGTGTACCTAATAAAGTGGCCGGTGAGTTTATTTAAGAGCTTGTTAGCATGTTTTGATAAAAGCAATGCTAAAAAAACACATATAGGGAAATGTCAGGGTGATATTTGTTTAATGTAGGGTGGATTTTATCTTGTTAATTATACATTTTAATAGTGTCAGAATGAGTGTTGCTAGTTGTTGAGTTATGCTGCGTTCACACCAGATGATTTACATGTTAAGTCAATGCAAATGCGCAAATAGACATCCTGTGGCGCGATACGCGCGAATGGCGCAGCGCGAATGACGCAAATTGCACGGTGCGAAAACCACGATACGCGTGAATAGCGCGGCGCGAATTGAGCGTTTGACGAGCGTTTCGCGCGAATCTCACGAGTTCGAAAATCTGAACTTCAGCAGACATTCGCGCCGCGTTAACCAATCAGGAGCTTGCTCTTGTGGGGGTGTGATTGTGATGTATCTCCTGTTGTCAGTGTTCTGGGGCAAATCCTCCAGCCGACACCGACAAGAAATTCATCAAACTGGGCTGGGCTCAGTCAGAAGCACCGCTGAAAGTCTTCGTCATCCAGGTTCAGTTCTGGAGGAGTTTATGACCTCACAGAGCTGGATGCACCTCTGAAAGCATGTAGTGGACTCAGACAGGACCCTAAACGTATCGATGCTGTTTTTCAGCCTTCATAAAGCACATAAACACTGTTATTTTCTTCATTAAATCCAAGTTAGCCATTTAGCAATGAAGCTACAGTCACCGAGCAGACAGAAGCCCTGAGGATCAAGTGAATCAGCGTCTGTTCTGAAGTGAATTTGACACGCGAATGAAGCGGATTTGATGCGCGAATGAAGCGAGTAACCTCAAATGGTCAAGCAGCAATTTACGCGCGAAAAGCACTTTCCGCGTCTGGTGTGAACACAGCTTTAAAGGGTTTAACATTGTAATGGTGTTGAATTGTGTAGGGTCCCGCAGGCTGTATGCAGCTGTGTTTGTCAGCTGTATTCTCTGTGTGTCTGCAGGTGTAATCTGGCCAGTGTGGTCCTGCAGCTCCTGGCTCTGGGTGTTCCTGACGTCCTCAACTTTGATTTTGTGTCCAAACCGTCGCCTGGTGAGACTCAAAACACATCGTTATACATACCAGATCAATGCACTGCTTCATTAGAAGGGATAGTTCACCTAAAAATGTTGAATGTTTCACTATTTATTCTTCCTCAAGTGGTGTACAAGTTTCTTTATTCTGTGGAGTGTTAGATTAAGTGGGAGTGCGTTATTCTGAACGCAAAAGATGATATTTAGAAAGGGCTAAAACCTGTAACCATTGACTTCCATAGTAGGACAGACAAATACTATTGAAGTCAATGGTTACAGGTTTCCAACATTTTTTTTTAAATCTTCTTTTGTGTTCAGCAGAATAAAGAAAGGTTTTGAACAAGTAAATGATGCTGGATTTGCATTTTTGGCTGAACTACCCCTTTGCATTGTAACCTTTGTGATGCTGCTGTATGTTGTATGGGAATAATTGCTTGTTTGTTTCCTGCGTCAGAGTCGATGCGGACGGCAGTGGAGCAGCTCTGTATCCTCGGAGCCGTCGACAGGAAAGATGATCATGTTTCTTTAACGCCGCTGGGCAAGAAAATGGCCTGTTTCCCTCTGGAGCCTCGATTCTCTAAAGTAAGAAACACCTAGAGTCTGCAGGAACCAGCAGCAGCAGAGACTTTTCATTCAGTATGTTGATACACGTCCAACTCAAACTGAATATTAAGTAGGGGCGGAGCTTATTTTTTGTGCATCATAGCAAACTAACTATAAGACGGGCGTGTTCCAATAAGACTTTAAAGGGCCATGACCCCCCCCCCCCCCCCCTCGTTTCAGCAGGGTGTTTTCACACCTCTAGTTTGGAAAAAAGTCAGGAAAGTGGGCGTGTCTAGCTCTGTTTGGGTGGGAGTGTCGGGGGAGGGAAAATGGGCAGGGTTTGAATAAAAATGGGAGTTGCCATTTGGGCACGCACTGAGGACAGAGGAAAAACAAACACACACACACAAACACACACGCAGAAAGACAGTGTGTTTAATGAGGGTGAAATGTTAGATACCGCACGTCCTTTAAGAGAAAAAGCCTCTGCATTTCTCTGTAACTCAGATGCACTCAGGAGGTCAGAAAGCCGTGTGTGTGGGGACTATCCTGTCACAAAATGCGGCGACATTTCAACACAACGGTCGGCAAAAGTTTGCTTACAGTGTTCACGTGTTTACACACAGAGAGCAGCATTTACAGCGGATCTTTCAATATCGCAGTGATATTAACGTACTGTAAACTAAGTAACTTAGAAATCATTTTGACTAAGGTCTGTCTTTAAACACTGAAATAGTACAGCTGACCATACCAACTATAACTTTGCCATCTGAATGAACACAGAAAGGGCGCTGATCGCATCACTTACCGAATCTGTAGACAGGACAATCAGCTCATACTGGAGCTGCGTCTTTTTTAAAGGAGACGAGCAGCAAATCCGGATCTCACTATTGATGAGAAAAGCTCTCGTGTCGCGAGCACTGATCCACACGCGAGTCCAGCAGCGTCTCATAGAGAGAAAATGAAACAAAACCTTCACATGATGAAAGCAACACTGGCGACCCGTATCTCCAAACAATTCTTATTCTTTTCCCACAACTTTCGGCAACATGACGTGTGTGGTCTCTCTGCCGTCTGAACACTGTTTCAGGTACAGTCTAAGAAAGCTAGCATGCATATGAATGTAGTTGCAGCGCATTCATAATGGAGCGCGCTGATTGGTTTGAACCAAGCCATACTCATGAATGAATGCAGCACACTCAGAGACGTAATACGGGACTCCCAGGTACACATGTCCAGTCTACATGCTGGAATACACGCTAAGATCTCATGACCGTGACGCAGCTTCAAAAATTTGTTTCCGACTGGAAGTACGAATTTGCTTGAAATAACGCAAAAACAACCAATTTACACTTTTTTGTGAAATATAGGTGTCCTAATAGTGTTTCTAGCAGTGTGGGACACATATACGACTGTCAACAGCTCAACACCTGTGTTCTGATGTTTTGTGACCCTTTAAGGCGCGACTAAAAATTGGTCTAAAGTCAGTGCCGCTGTTTTTTTTTTTGTTATTTAAAGAGCCCATATTATACATGAAATAGGGTCATATCTTGGTTGTAAGGGTCTCCAACAACAGTTTAATATGCATGCAAGGTCAAAAACACTTTCATGGTGTTATAATCTGCATTTATTTTTGCCTAATTATCCCAGCAACTCCTGTATGAATCGTCCAGTGATTCATTTGTTCCCAAACCCCTCCTTAGCGCGAAGCTAATCTGCGCTGATTGGACCAATGACAGTCTGTTGCGATTGGTCGACTGCCTTCAGTCAGAGAGTGAAATGTCCAACAGCTAATCAGCAATATAAAAGTAATCACAGTTCATACACGCTCGATAGTGTAGGCGTGGATTTTTGCTGCCAGTGGGTCAATGTAAATACAGACGATGGACTTGTAAATACAGACGACTGACTATTTTATTGAGCAAAAACTCCAAAAACAGTTGAGGAGATCTCCTAGCTTCTCACTCTGCTCTTTTTACAGACACACACACACACATATTGCCCACGTCCTTGCGCGCGCTCAGGACGACGCGCGCACGCACACACACAAACACACACACATTTCCGGACGACAGCGCGCGCACACACACACACGCACACACACACACACATACACACACTACCCTCCTCCACGGAGCTCCGTTAACAAAGCAGCACGCGTCGCATTTTTAACGTGGCTTTGCACCCGATATGAGAATAAAGCGAGTTAACCTGATACAGTACACGCGGTTACAAGAAACAAATCACAGCTAAATACATTTGCAAGCTAGAGTCAACGAGGCAACTTTAATGGCACGTACTTACACTTGAGAAATGGAGGTGGAAACCCATCCTGACATGTCCAGCAGTAAGTTACTCTTTACTGATCCTTCCTTTAACAAACGCTGATGAAGTATTCTTTGTAGCATGTAGCTTCCAGAAGTTTACAACTGCTTGGTTATAATGCTGATGTTTCATCTTTGGGTAGAGACTCGATAATATCCATCTGCAGTGTGACTTCAATCAACCGGCATGTTTGTGTGTGTGTGTGTGTGTGTGTGTGTGTGTCTGGGTTTCTGTGTCAGAGGGCGGGGCCGCAGGTTTGAAATCTCCCGGGTTTGCGCGTGCACGTGAATAACTTGGTTTCGTTCGTACGTCATGGCAAAACACCTAATGACTCGGTATCAAGGCGACTCGTTTGAAGCACTATGAGTCGACTCTTTTTTTAGATGAATCAACAGTTTTAAACACTGTACACTAACAGATTTAAGCCTCCGCTGGATACTTCACTTCACTTAGAGCTGTGTTACACACAACATGGAGGGGAATTTTCAAAAACCCTCAATATGGGCTCTTTAACACAAAGCACATTAGTTTAAGCACATTTGTTAAAACTGAATATTGAGTAGGGGCGGGGCTTTCTCTTTGCACATCATTCCCTCATAGCAAACTAACAGTTCAAGTTTTGATTTCTGCATGAACCGGAAGCTGTGATTGTTTTTCTTTTCTGTATTGTGACGCAGCCCCTAGAGAAATGGAATATTGAATGAAAAAGCAGTGGGCGTGGCTTGTTTTTTCTACTGTGAGCTGATTGGCTGTAGTAAAGTAGGCGTTTCATTCAGAAAAGATGGGGTAAAGGGTTTGTGGAGAGTAAAGCTGCTGTCACACTGGGCTTTTCCTCCCATAGACTTCCATTCATACGCTCGCAAATGCGTCAGACCGGAAACGCAGGGTCATGCGTCAGGTTTCGCAGGTTGCTGCGGTGCAAAGTTCAAGCTTGGTGAACTCTGACCTGCGAAGACGCATCACTTGACTGCGTGAGACCAATCGAGGATCAAAACATGACCTCTCTGGACAGAAATTTAAAACATGGAGCAATCGCTCGCTTTTTTTAATGCCTAATAATCTTGATTGCCCCCCTTTCCACAGTGCCGTACAACAGAATTTCACACACACAAACACTAGTGTGACCGCAGCTTTATTACAACCTAACAGACTCCTCCTCCTCCTCATTTCTGTTTGATGTCATAGCGATGACAGCTGGATGGGCGTGGTTAAGTATGTTAGCCCCTCCCAATACCTCAGACAGACCTAATCTGAGAATTAGGCTGAAAACTGAAGTGCATTTTCAGATTTCAATTTAAAATTACGAGGGCAAACAACTTATTTTTTGCTTAATGACATGCACAGTTGAAATGTTCAGCAAAAAAAATAGCAATGTGAGCTGACAAAATCAATATGGTGAATTTGATGCCATGTGTACTTTAATCTGACTCTCCTCTATGTGCGCAGACTCTCCTGATCTCTCCTGATTTCTCCTGCGCTGAGGAGATTCTGACCATCATCTCTCTGCTGTCTGTGGACTCTGTGCTCTACAATCCTCCGGCCCGCAGAGACGAGGTCATCTCCGTCCGCAAGAAGTTCATCTCCAGCGAAGGCGACCACATCACTCTCCTCAACATCTACAGGGCCTTCAAGAAAGTCAGCGGGAACAAGGTGCGCAGGTCTACGTTTGACATTAGATGCATCGCAAATCATGCACTGTTATACGCCATTTCATAGTGTAAATAGTGCATTCACTCTGAAAATTAATAAAATAAATAAATAAGTGCACTTTACATTCCCGGATGATGCACTTATTCTGGTGTTAAACGTGAATGTGTAATGCTGAACACTTAATGCAAGCAACGCTTTGAGTGGAAAGGGAGGGGCTATTTATAAATGGGAGTAGCTATTGGTTAATGGGAGGAGCTATTTGGTGCTAAATTTATGGTGTATAAATGCACAAGTGTTCAAGTTCATAAGTGTAAATGTGCATAAGTGAATAGTGTTTAAGTGTATAGTGCTTTGGTGCATAAGTGCTTAACATAGTTCATAAGTGTTTAAGTGCATAAGTGTGTAAGTGCATAAGTGTTTAAATGTGTAAGTGCATAATTGTTTAAGTGTGTAGTGCATAAGTGTGTAAGTGCATAAGTGTTTTAAGTGCACAAGTGTGTAAGTGCGTAAGTGTTTAAATGTGTAAGTGCATAATTGTTTAAGTGTGTAAGTGCATAAGTGTGTAAGCGCATAAGTGTTTTAAGTGCACAAGTGTGTAAGTGCGTAAGTGTTTAAATGTGTAAGTGCATAATTGTTTAAGTGTGTAGTGCATCAGTGTGTAGTGCATAAGTGCGTAAGTGCATAAGTGTTTAAGTGCACAAGTGTGTAAGTGTTTAAATGTTTAAGTGCATAATTGTTTAAGTGTGTAGTGCATAAGTGTGTAAGTGCATAAGTGTTTAAGTGCACAAGTGTGTAAGTGTTTAAATGTTTAAGTGCATAATTGTTTAAGTGTGTAGTGCATAAGTGCGTAAGTGCATAAGTGTTTAAGTGCACAAGTGTGTAAGTGTTTAAATGTTTAAGTGCATAATTGTTTAAGTGTGTAGTGCATAAGTGTTTAAGTGCATAAGTGTTTAAGTGCACAAGTGTGTAAGTGCGTAAGTGTTTAAATGTGTAAGTGCTAGGGCTGTAACGATACACCAAACCCACGATTCGGTTCGTATCACGATTTTTGACCCACGATTCGGTTCGTATCACGATTTTTGACCCACGATTCGGTTCGTATCACGATTTTTTTTTTTTTCGTGTGGGGTGGGAAAAAAAGATTTTTAAAACTATTTTTTATTAAATAACATTTGAAAAATCTTTATAAACTAAACATCAAAGAACAATATTAACTATGCAAATTATTAACAATATAAATAGCCATATTTAAAATAAATAAATAGCCAAAGCTATATCACTTCTGTTTTCTTTTGTAACAAAATACTGTTGAAAAACCAAACAGAACTAAACTGCATTGTGTAGATGGTTTAAGCATGTTGAAAATTATTTTTCAATCAAGTTCTCTTACATAGAAAAAGTAAATTAAATGGCTACTAGGGATGCTCATTTCGTTAATTTTGCTAACCAACAACCGCCGCTCATTAATCGGTTATTACCGGTTAACTGGTCAGATTACTATTAATTTTATATTAAACAAATTGGCGTGTCTATTTTGTGTCTGACACATTAAATTTTGCATTTTAAAATACTGATTTATTTTTATATGTTAATAGCGGAACAGAACAACAGAGCATCTTCACGCACCTGCAGTGTTTAGCACAGAAGAGCAGAATAATCTAAATAAAATGAATAAAATAAATAGGACTGCCCTAAATTATTTTCACTTAAATAATTAATTTATATTACAAAACGAAAATACTGACTGATTCTTTTAAATAACCAGCATGGGCTTTTTTTTTTCCAATCATATGTTTTTTTTCTTTCGTCAAATAAAAATAGCTGACTTCCTCAAATTGCCCGCTCCACGGAAAATATGCATTTATTTAATGCCCCACTGTTATTATTATAATCACAAAACCTTTTACATTTTAATAGAAATCATTATTTTAAAGAATATGTCCTGATATAGCCTATGGTTTCCTCTCTCCCCCTCGCGGCTCAAGTGCGCGCTGCGTGATGAAAAGACAGCAACAACGCGCACATATGTAGACTTTTTGTAAACAGTTTTGTTGTTTAAATATGATATTGCATTAATGTGCATACATGCTTTATAAGCTGTAAAATAAAAAGTAAAGCCTATTTGTTGCGTTTATTACGCAGATCCAGGTCAACATAAGCGCTGGTTAAGCATCAACAGGTCTGTAGGCTATCAAACAGCAATATTCTTCTTACATTTTGCTTCTTTGGCAAATGTGTCTGTAGGCACAGGTTATACGTTATCGTCCCGCAAATTAAGTATGCCTTGCAGTTAAACAAGTGGCCGAAAACGAGGCGCACCTCATTGCCTTTATATGTTGACAAGGAAAAAATAAGAATAAGCGCGGTCCTCTTATGAAACGACTGAATCAGCTGGGTATTGATTGTGCAAAAGTGTTGCTGTCTGTGTTGTTACAATTGTAATATTTAATACTATTGTGATATTCAAGATTTGTATATTCATACAGCTCTGGATAACTAAAAACAGCGATTAGACCTTCAGAGCGGTGTTAATGCGTCCTGAAGTAAAGCGAAACGGCTATAAACTCCAGCAAGATAGAGTGATTAAATGCAGAGTCATATACCTTTATCTCTAAATAAAGTATAACTATAGAAACTGTGTTCATCTTAACTGAAAGCTTCGTCGTGTTTTCTGACCTCACCCATCGCGAACCTGTCAGTCAGCACTCTCAAAGGTTCAAACAGAAAGCGCACAGCACGGTTACAGAAAAGTTTGCGCTGTTACCTGACATCTGGTGAACGCCCATCCCTCTCTGCGCAGCCACATTATCAGTGTGAGCAAATCAACGTATATGCGCTGAAAATCCGGCCGCTTTGACAGCATTGGCAATGTTTCTGGCGTTGTCGGTTGTCAAGCGGGGTTAAGTTGGTTTTGTTTTTGATATTCTTGACACATTCAGACGGTCCTTTACTAAGAGCTCCGTGCGAGCTCTCCCGGCTAAATATTGGAAGGCTTAAACGGAGCAGTGCTTGTAATGTCGAACGAAAAAAAGTGTTAATTAGCTCAACTTTTGCAGGCACGCGTGACGTTATTGGAAAGGTAGTCACGGGGTGTGTCGCGATTCTCCCTCATCACACCGCGACACAGTAGATCTGAGTGTCGCGATTTCGATTTTATATCGTGTATCGTTACAGCCCTAGTAAGTGCATAATTGTTTAAGTGTGTAGTGCATAAGTGTGTAAGTGCATAAGTGTTTTAAGTGCACAAGTGTAAGTGCGTAAGTGTTTAAATGTGTAAGTGCATAATTGTTTAAGTGTGTAGTGCATCAGTGTGTAGTGCATAAGTGCGTAAGTGCATAAGTGTTTAAGTGCACAAGTGTGTAAGTGTTTAAATGTTTAAGTGCATAATTGTTTACGTGTGTAGTGCATAAGTGTGTAAGTGCATAAGAGTGTGTTTAAGTGTGTAAGTGTACAAGTATTTAAGTGCATAGTGCATAAGCTTGTAAGTGGTTAAGTGCGTAAGTGCATAAGTGTTTATGTGCATAGTGCATAAGTGTGTATGTGCGTGTTTAAGTGCATAAGTAAATGCATGAGTCAGTGCGTAAGTGTTTAAGTGCATAATTATATAGTGTTTAAGTGCATAGTGCTTAGGTGCATACGTGCATGTAGCATAAGTGCATAACATAGTGCACAAGTGTTTAAGTGCATAGTGCTTAGGTGCATTAGTGCATGTAGCATAAGTGCATAACATAGTGTATAGTGCACAAGTGTTTTAGTGCATAGTGCTTAGGTGCATAAGTGCGTAACAGTACATGGTGCACAATTGTTTAAGTGCACAAGTGCGTAACACTGTGTATAGTGCACAAGTGTTTAAGTGCATAAATGTTTAAGTGCATAAGTATATAGTAATTTGGTGAATAAGTGCATAACATAGTACATAGTGCACAATTTTTTAAGTGCATAACATAACAGTACATAGTGCACAAGTGTTTAAGTGCCAAAGTGCGTAACAGCGTATAGTGCACAAGTGTTGAAGTGCACAAGTGTTTAAGTGCATAGGGCTTAGGTGCATAAGTGCGTAACAGGACATAGCGCACAAGTGTTGAAGTGCACATGTGCGTAACATAGGGTATAGTGCACAAGTGTTGAAGTGCACAATTGTTGAAGTGCATAAATGTTTAAGTGCTTAAGTATATAGTGCTTGGGTGAATAAGTGCAAAACATAGTACATAGTGCACAAATGTTTAAGTGCATAGTGATTAGGTGCATAAATGCATGTTGCATGAGTGAATATATAACATAGTACACACGTGTGTAAGTGCTCAAGTGTGTAAGTGCACAAGTGTTTAAGTGTATAAATGTTTAAGTGCATAAGTTTTTAGTGCATAGTGCTTAGATGCATAAGTGCGTAACAGTACATAGTGCACAAGTGTTTAAGTGCACAAGTGCGTAACATAGTGTATAGTGCACAACTTTTGAAGTGCACAAGTGTTTAAGTGCGTAAATGTTTAAGTGCATAAGTATATAGTGCTTAGGTGAATAAGTGCATGTTGCATAAGTGCATAACATAGTACATAGTGCACAAGTGTTTAAGTGCATAGTGCTTAGGTGCATTAATGCATGTTGCATAAGTGAAAAACAGTACACACGTGTGTAAGTGTTTACGTGCACAAGTGCGTAACAGTGTATAGTGGACAAGTGCGTAACAGAACAGTGCACAAGCGTTTAAGTGCACAAGTGTTTAAGTGCACAAGTGCGTAACAGAACAGTGCACAAGTGTTTAAGTGCACAAGTGTTTAAGTGCATAAGTATATAGTACTAAGGTGTATAAGTACACGTTGCGTAACATAGTACATAGTGCACAAGTGTTGAAGTGCACTAGTGTTTAAGTGCGTAACATAGTATATAGTGCACAAGTGTTGAAGTGCACTAGTGTTTAAGTGCATAGTGCTTAGGTGCATAAACGCATGTTGCATAAGTGAATAGCATAGTACACCGTGTTTAAGTGCACAAGTGCGTAACAGTGTATAGTGCACAAGTGTTTAAGTGCACAAGTGTTTAAGTGCACAAGTGCGTAACAGAACAGTGCACAAGTGTTTAAGTGCACAAGTGTGCATAAGTATATAGTACTAAGGTGTATAAGTACACGTTGCATAACATAGTACATAGTGCACAAGTGTTGAAGTGCACTAGTGTTTAAGTGAATAACATAGTATATAGTGCACAAGTGTTGAAGTGCACTAGTGTTTAAGTGCATAGTGCTTAGATGCATAAACGCATGTTGCATAAGTGAATAGCATAGTACACCCGTGTTTAAGTGCACAAGTGCGTAACAGTGTATAGTGCACAAGTGTTTAAGTGCACAAGTGTTTAAGTGCATAGTGCTTAGGTACATAAACGCATGTTGCATAAGTGAATAGCATAGTGCACAAGTGTTTAAGTGCACAAGTGTTTAAGTGCTTAGGTGCATAAGTGCGTAACAGTGCACAAGTGTTTAAGTGCTTAGGTGCATAAGTGCGTAACAGTGCACAAGTGTTTAAGTGCACAAGTGTTTAAGTGCTTAGGTGCATAAGTGCGTAACAGTGCACAAGTGTTTAAGTGCTTAGGTGCATAAGTGCGTAACAGTGCACAAGTGTTTAAGTGCATAGTACTTAGGTGCATAAGTGCGCAACAGTACATAGTGCACAAGTGTTGAAGTGTACAAGTGTTTAAGTGCATAGTGCTTAGGTGCATAAGTGCATAACAGCGCAAAGTGCTCAAGTGTTTAAGTGCATAGGGCTTCAGCGTATAGTGCATAATGTATAAGTGCATAGCGTATAGTGAAAAAGTACAGTGCAAAGAATATAAGTGCATAGTGTATAAGTGTATAGTGTATAAGGGCACTAGTGTATAAGTGCATAGTGTATAGTGTATAAGAATATAGTTTCTAAATCATTCAAAATTGGGAATTTGTTAGGGTGTGTGTGTGTGTGTGTGTGTGTGTTTGTGCTTGTGTGTGTGTGTGTGTGTTTGCTGTGTGGGGAAATGTTCTCTTCATCTGTGTTTATTCTCCTACTTTACGGCAGGACTGGTGTCGAGAGAACTTTGTGAACAGCAGGAACATGGGGCTGGTGGGAGAGGTTCGAGCTCAGCTCAGAGACATCTGTATCAAGGTACACACACATACTCACTGCAACTGCTTCACAACACAGAACAAACCAGTGGCAGCTTCCTGTTCATGCAGACTTTAAGTGTGTTTTATAAGTGAACAGTGTTGTTGTTGTTGTTCCTCAGATGAACCTGAAGCTGGAGTCGTCGGTGTGTGATCTGGCGAATGTGCGCCGCTGTCTCGCTCACGGTTTGTTCATGAGCGCAGCAGAACTGCAGCCGGACGGATCATACGTGGCTCTGGACACACACCAGCCCGTCAGCATACACCCGTCCTCTGTGCTGTTCCAGGCGCGGCCGGTGTGTGTGTTGTTCAACGAGCTGCTGCACACGTCACGCTGCTACATGCGGGATCTGTGTCTCATACAGACTGACTGGCTGCACGAGGCCGCGCCAGAGTACTTCAGGAGGAAACTGCGCGCAATCAAGAGCTAACACACACACACACACACACTGGACACACACTGCAGCTTCACCAAATGATGCATGATGGGAAATTGAGTCCTGACTGTTCATCCACACTGAGGAAATATGTGACTAATACTAGAAACACACACACACACACACACTCTCTCTCTCTCACGCACTCACATACATGCACATGGACAGACAGACTCATACACACTCTCATTCTTACACACACACACACACACACACACACG